GCAAAGGCAAATCCTAACACACGAGGGGGAAAACATGTAGGTCTGCAGAATTCAAACACACTATCACAGGATTAATTTTGCTGCTCTTAACAAAGGTGATATGGTTAGGGAAGTTTCAGAAATTCCCTAGCCAAGATAGGTGCCTTGAAAACCAAAAGCTATCAATCCTGGGCTGCAGGTCCTGTGAACTGTTGGAGACACAACACAGTTTATACTCCTACTCACTGTCAGGCTTCTGCCAAGCCATGAAAAGAATAAATAAGAATCTACTCATCTTCAGCAAACCATGCAATAAAATTGAGCTCAAGTTTAATAGAGGACTTCAAACATTATGTTGAGCTTGACCAGACTCAGAACCAAAAAGTCATCACACTCAGCCATCCTCAGTAGCTGTGCCATCCTATCAGTCATGAGCCTCATGGAATTGGTTGGCAGAGTCCATGAAACATGAGGAATTCACGTGTGACATGCTGATCTTATATTATGCAAGTAAACCAAAATGTAACAAATATTTTACTTGTAAATATATTTGAGCCAGGAAATACAGATTTGAAATACAGATTTGACAAACGCTAGTCATATTCGAAAAACACACCTTTTTAATTCTTGGAGATTCCCTTACTTCCAATGGCACAGATGCCATGCTTATGCAACAAACCGGGATCCAAATTTTGCAAATCTTGTCTCTGCTTTGATCAAGTAACTGATCAGATCAAGACAGGGACCAGACTTAGCCAGAACAAAGGGGCTGTTCAGGTTCCAGGAATTAGCTTCATGGTGATCAGGTGTAGATTAATTTGTTTGCTTGAATGGAATATTGGTTTTCCAAAGGCAAATAGCGATCATGTTTTGAATAACAGAACTTGGACATCCTGAACGAGAGATAACTGAGATAACTTGGGGGTGACTGAATCAGAGCAGTGACTTGAGACCCCAAAGAGCATAAGAAGTGACCTTAGAATGCAGCGACCTCAAGAACTCCCATTTCATTGTTTTGTTTGGTTTCCAGCAGCCTGGTACTGGCTTTATTCCAAAAATGCATGGTTGGAAGTGTATAGACAGAAGTGCCTTTAAGCCAGCAAAAATAGCCTGATGGGCTGAAAGACACTGCCATCCATCTTCTTTCCCCAGATGAGAACAGTTGGTTGAAAAGACAGTCTTGCACATTTACAAACTCCTCTTCTCTAGCCAGTTTCCCTGCCCCCTGAAAGTCATAATTTAAACAAAAGAAAATTTTACTGGGATTTTTATTGTCTGCGTTCCCATTATCATCAACTTTATTAGGTTTTCTAGAATACCATTTATTGCCACTGGTGAGGAGGTAACACAGCTCACATTACTGTGCATTTTTTAGTTCTCCGTTGGGAGAACACAAGGTTTCAGACAAAAGTTTATAATTATTTATGCAGCAAATTGATATTTTTGGTGGAGTCTTTTTATCGTGGTAAGAATTATAAGCCTTGGAAGATTAAATTTGTACAGAAAACTATTTTATACTTTTAAAAAATCTGTCTTTGTTGTTGCAACTCTATATCACTCTTCATCACAAATTCATGAAAATCACTAAATGCTCCAATTACAGCATTATTTCTATGAATAACCCTATTTAGATGATGTACTGAGATCTATCTTTAAAGCCATTTCTAGTTGTTGTTACTATTTTAAAACACTGATCTAAAAGTTTCAATAATAAGCTTTGAGATTGGTATAAATGAGCCAGAGAAAATATGCAATACAGCAACTATGAAACCAAATTCTAGAGCATCTTGAAACTCAAAAGGATTATATGATCTTATTTGCCATAGAAGATTGAAAACACACTGTATCCAGAAATGTCTTTTTAAAATTCTTTTTAGATGGTTTTCTATTTTTTTAAATTATTCTATAAAAATGAAATCAAGTAAAAAATAATAGTTGTAATTAGTAGCTTCACTTTCTAAAAGGGCTACAAGTTAAATACTAAACTTTATAATGAATTTAATGTCAAGGTGTAATTGTGATACTTTTATTCAAATGTTCCATAGTCCATAGTGAAATCGTACAGCCAACTACAACTCTACTATTTTGGTGCCTGGGGCCCCTTTCTCCCCCCAGCCCCAATCTGTGAAGGAGACTCCCCCTTGTTCAAAGGTAAGGCTGGCTAAAACTCTTGAAAGCAACACTCCTGCTGGATTTTGACTTCCTTTTTTTCACTCTCAGTTCCCCCAGGCTTCACGATCCTTTCCCCGATAGTCAGTGTGGGCAATTAGAACGTAGATAATCTTAATTCAATGTAGATAAAACCCTTCCTGCCCTACCAATCTCTCCTTTCAAGCACAAACGTTTAATATACTTCGGATATATGGAGAGTAATTCCAATTCAATGCTATAATCTGCGCAGAGAATCTCCAGTGCTAAGTACCTCAGGGATCCAAAAGGGCCTGGCTGTAGCTCCCTGGTCAGACAGGCTGACCTGCAGCCACCTCAATTAGCTGGGAAAGCAGAGAGTAGTGCTGTACTCAGGGAAAATACTGCAAGAAAATAGAGCCAAAGAGTTGTTTCAGGAAACCTGAAAGAACTGAAAAGGCCAAGTACAGTTTAGACCAGTCAAAAGCCAATGTTGAGCAACCTGACTTTTCCAAATATGTTTTGTGGATACTGCTTGTAGCACTGAAATCCTTTGCAAATGTCTTTATATGAAGACCAAACTAATCAGCAACACACAGATAACTCAGATACAGTAAGTTATTAGGCAGCCTTATTGCAAATGTGAATGCTTGGCACAAATCCTGCAAAGAACTCCAGCCATTATCTGGGGGGATTTCTGTGTCCCTTGCACAGACTGTCACTTACTAAGACAATATGATTATGTTTCCCCCGTAAATCGGTGTTGGAGCTGTTTTAGTCCCTCACATTACATGTGATAATCCCAAAACACATCTGCTTATGAATGAAATGTTGTTTGGGGTTTGACATACGTTAAAGGTTTAAAGAGGAAATGCAAACTGTGAGGACATTATTGCTGATAGTACACTAACAGCACACAGTCAAGGTAAAGATTGTCAAGTGTCACACTGTCAGAGTTAGTCACAAAAGAACACTCACTAAACAATTCCTGGAAAGAGATTTTGACAAGTGCTGTGAAATTCTCATACCATGACCATGCTTCAGTAATATTCTTTGTGTTGTATCAGCTACAGCATTTTCAAAGCCCACCCATGAGCAAGTTTTCAAATACATGATGCCTAAGATGCCTAAGGAGGCAAGTTGGATGATTCTTAAAATCACAGAATAAACTCAAGTTTATGCTATGAGGAAACCAGAAGACAGCATATAAACTACATGGCCAGCTGAAGGCTGCACAAAGCCAAGTCTATTGTCCCATACCCTCAATCAGATCTTGCACACCAGGGATGGGGGTGGGGAGCATCAGTAGCTAAATTTTTCTGGGTTTTAAGCACACTTGAAAGCCAGAAATAAGGCTTTGATCTTCCTACAAGCATAGTGCAAGTACATGGACAAAAAGGTTCCCATGACTGCTGATGTGAAAGCCTCATTCTGCTGACAACCAAGTGTCCTGAAGTCCCCATGCTCTATATCACTTAAGTTTGTGCTGAAGAGCTCTACTGAATCAAGTGTGGAGGTTTGAGTGCTGGTGATTCTCATATACTAATTTATGAGCAATTGTCTCACAGAAACCCATTGGGCTAAGTCTGCATATGGAGCTGCATGAGCCTGACAAGCTTAACGTTCTCAGCACTCGAGCTGTCTTACTCTAAAGGACAATCCAATACTTCTGGTGTAAGAGTTTCTAATCAAGGAAAATGACTGGGCTACCCAGCTCAAGGAGTTTGCCTTTAATTTACAACTGACCTGAGTCAAAAAATATTCCGAGAGGCCAATAAAGTAGTGTCACAGTGCCTGTCACAGGGACAAGGGAAAGCAAATGGCTGAATCCATCTTTATGGTCCACAGTACAAAAGAAATGCTGGTATAGCCCCACAAATTCCAGGTGGTACATGCAGTGCCCAGATATTTGTGTGCAGTCTGTTGCATCAATGAATTAGGCCTTCTGTAGAGTATAATAGTTCATATACATGTTATACTCATACATCTAATATATACATAATAGGAAAATGCTCTTGAGCTTCTCTCAATTTTAAATTTAACATATGCTTCATGTTCAAGAAATGTAGGGAGGATGAGATGTTACCAAATGTGAGAACAGCTCAATCACTGCAGTATTCACTGATGTTTCTACTCCAAAAAGAACAAACAGATGCTTAATTTCTTACCCCTAACCTCAATACAAATAAATAACACAACCTACAGTTTGAAACATATTTTCAAAATGTATTTGGAGACACGGAAATGCCCCATCTATTTATAACACAGATTCAATCCAACTCATGATATAATCCATTTAATCTGGCGAACCAGAAAAACTCTCACATTTTGATTTGCTAACATGTATGGATTTTCACTATCAAGATTGCTCTTAGTCAACAAAGAAGTAATTACTTGAATGATTATTCAACTAATTGCTTAGCTACTCAATAGAAAGGGAAGTGATTACTAAAATAATTCAACCACCACCAAAGGAATGATGGACGTACATAGATTAGAAATACAAAATATAATTTGTCAAAAATGGTATGCTTAATTAAAGAATGAATATTTAAGAGGTCTTTCACATTCCATGCTATTTAGTTCCATCTAGAACGACTGCTCTCAAAAAGGCAATGCCAACTTCAGCGGAAGGGACAATGCAATAGGCACAACTTAGCAGTGGGCATTGATACTTAGTGTAGAAAGTACTAACAACTGCAAGTCAAAATGAATTTTATTGATGGAAATTCAGACAGATAAAGCAGACTACTGAGGCACTCTGCAGATCAGTCTATAATGCTCACTCTAGAAAGATACAAGCAGTCCAGAAAAAAAAAAAAAAACAAAAATGTTTCCAAGATCATAAAAGAAACAAACAAACAAACCCCCACACAAATTAAAAATACCTCTACCTTTTTCCTGGGTGTGTTCAGCTGAATTTCTTCTTTCTCACTGAATACAAAGGAGCCTGAAAGAAAGAATGAAAAACAGAATTCACAATTATGTTCCATGGGGAACTATTCTAACAACTGATTCCAAGTAGTTCAAGGGCTGATTTTGTTTGGTTTTCTGGTCAAGTTGCCTTATTAGTACTTTTTCAGCATTGCAGTTATGGATTTTAGGTGAAGTAGATGAACTTTAAGACACCATATGAAATATGAAAAGAACGTGCCATGCTCATAAAGACAATACAGTATGAAATATTAGCACACCAGTCCATCAGTTGCAGAGCTGCCAAGCTATTTTATTCACTGCAGGGGAGCAGACAACAGTGTCAGTAAAACCTTGGTAGAAGTCTCCTGCAGAGTTGTGTGGCCTTCTCTTTTAATGCATTACATTGACTACCAAATTTCCAGAGGCCAGGCTTGTTACAACCTGGCCATCACAACCAAACCTCACTAAATTGGAGTTCTATTACACTGAAAAGGCAGGTCCTTGCCCTGCAGACTCTCCAGAGGTCTCACACTCTGGAACAGAGGGACTTGAACTTGCTTATGTCATGTGTAGGACAGATAAGAACAATCAAATAATAGTTACAGTTTTGGTAAGCTGTAAAAGTCAACAAACTAAACTTCTCTGTTCTTCACCGAGTCAAGCTGTCAGCAGACAAAAGCACAGGCTAAGGAGGCATGAAAACACTCCCTACTTTCTTCCTGGACCAAGGATGATCTTTATTTTAAGTTTCCCCTATACCCATTTAATATAATTGAAATGAGGAGTCTTTCCATTTTACACCTTATTTGATGGGTTTTTTTCTCACTTGCTATGTGCTAAGTTTCAGCTTGAGTGCAAAGGCTTTTCAGAGCAATTTTGGACTCTTACTCTAGGACTTCTCCGCATGCATTAAAAAAATAAAAGAAAAAGATAAGCAACTTTGCCCAAGGATCCCTTCCTTTACTTCAGCACTAAGCTGACCAAAAAAATCTCCCAGGAAGGTAGAGAAAGGCTATTTGGAAGTTGCGCTGGGACAATCATTTTAAAGAGCTCCCTTCCTCCTCTTGATTTTCCTCTCTCCTTTTAAAATGTTGGGTCAGATGCAGAGTTCTCAGCAGAGCACTCGTGCAGCTGCCCCTCACTGCTGGGCCTTTCATGGACTGCTCTGCTGTGGAGATGCCAGCTTTTGAAGGGGCAACCTGGTCATCAAGGGTAAGATTTCCATCTAAGAGCTCCTCCAAACTCAAAGTCTGATTGATTTCCTCCTCTGTGAGGTACTTAGGAGCATCAGCATAGAAGTCTGAAACGTGTTCAAGGCGTTAGTGTCTGAAGAAAGCCTGCTGACTAAAGGCTAGTTCTGCTTTGTTATCAGCTGCAAATACTTGTCCTCTCCCTCCCATTTTCCTGAAAAAAGGAAATACCACTAAATCCAGAGTTCCATCTAACTTTGAGTGGATGAGACAAATCTTTGCTCGCATGTGCAACTCAAGAAATCAAAATGGACTACATAAAACAAGTAATTAGAATCAGTTCTTCGTCAATGATTATTTTTGGTAAGGTCTGACGTTACGGAAGAAGTAAGAGCACGTCTGTACATCTGACAGAGGCAGTTGTACAACTATTAGGCAGGAGATTTTAATTTTCTGGTCTGCACATTGTAAATGGAGATTTAAAACAAGATCTGAAAGTTAGACAGGATTCTCCCAATTTTCCATATTTGGGAATAGGATATTATAAAAATTGGGATACTCTGAAGCTTCCAAAATTTCACCTCTTTAAATTTTTCTTTGAAAATCGTTTCTCATTCCACTTCCAGACAGGTGCAAACCCTGTGCTGCAGTAATTACCTCACATGCAAACATAATAGTAGAGAAGTGGCATTGGCAGCCTCCAACAAATAAAGGTTTTCAACACAAACAAGAAGGCTCTTGATTCATATACAGAATGACTATTCTGAAAACAATAAACTCCATCTTGTGTTTTCTAAGATTGCAAATTTGGACTACATGGCATTTCAGCAATCCTATCAGTTCACAGTGATGCATGATTCATTAATGGGTTCATCTCCATCTATAAAATTCTAAGGCAATTAAATAGGAATTGGTGTTTCTCTAGAGAGGCTTTTCCAGCTAAAAATAAAATAGAAGGTAGACAGTGACTGGCATTATTTATATCAACAATTCTACTGGAATGATAATGCAGCAGTTTTCACATGCAAATATACACACGTTTAAATGATTTAGGATGGATTAAAATAAGGAGCTTAATGCATTTCTTTGCTTGTGCTCAATCTTTTCATTTCCTTAAGAATCCTATGAAAGCTGCATCTAAAAGCAATTCTTTTGGACTGTGAAGAAATGTCATTACACTACACTGAAAATATTCTTAATACATATGAAAGAAACAGCAAGTGGTTACAAAGATACATAAATAGCTTGTTATAAAAAATTTAGTCAAATCAGCATTCAACACCCATTAAATCTAAGGGAATAATGAATATGTTTGTTTAAACGTGCAAATGTCACAAAGATACTAAAACTTGCAACAGAGGATAGGATCATTTCCACAAGATCTATCACTAAAGATTGACCTCATGAATAAATTGGAATCTACAGTAATTATGCCTCTTAGCACGATTAAAATTAAGAACCAGCATAATGTGCTGGGTCCCACTGCTGGTGTCTCAGCAGATGCAGTAGTGGTTCCTGTCCAGGGTTACACAAACAAAAATAAGGTCATGTGTGGGAACATTCTGTGCAGTATTCATACACTGGAGGAATACTGCAAAAAATAATTTACACTGAATTTTCGCAAGCATATTTTCTCACTATGCCAAGTTTAGCAGCCTTTGGTAACTGCAGCACAAAGCTACATAGGAACAACCAGTAAACCCGAGTTCAGGTGCCAGTATTGCATTGCATGAAGAACAATACCTTGTTTGCAAGGTGTTACAATAGAGCTTTGCATATCATGACGTGTAACTCCAGAAACAGCACATATTTCTTGGAAGAGCAATACCCATATTTGAGTTTTTCTCTCTTTTCTTGTTTATGGTAAATTCTTTACCTTCAGTTACCTCAGCATTACCAATAACCGGGCAATTACACTTATCTCAAACTTCTCTTATAAAATTTCTGATCCTCATATTCCTGTGATTGATACTGAATTAGCTTAGACAGTAAAGTGAAATTTTCATTCCAAAAGGCTGGAAAGGAAAACCGGAGTGAACTCTAATATGCCTACATAGACATGGCAAACAAACAGATTTTAGTCTAAAAAAAGAAAACCCTCACGCTTCCAGCCAGTAATAATTTTTAACACTTCAGACTGGCAACAGTGTGATCCAAAGTGTGATTTTTAGTTGTATCTGTAAAGTTAACACATTATTAATTAGCATTTTTTGAGGTCAAAATTTTGCCTGTTGATACACTAGTGTCCATATGTTTGGGTGGGCTGAGAGGGTGACAGCATTTGTGTAATCAAATATAGAAACGTTTTTTCTTCATGTTTAATGACTTGCATTTGTAAGTTTATAGAAGAAAAATTATACCAAATAATTATCCAACTAAACAGAATTTAAAAGTCTTTAAGGTTTCTTTATTCTATTTTAAAAGGCTTACATGGAAACAGGCTTCTCTTCTGGACAGCGAAAATATAAATCTTCAAAATCATGACTTCTTCCTGACCTGTTTCTCAGATTCTCTTTATGTTCTCATGAACTATGTCACTCTCTCTATTTAACCTCTAACTAGCACTATAAAAACACTGTTATAAACTCATTTGTGATGTTTCTTGGGTTTCCTTAGGAAGCAGGTCAGTAGTTCCAAGACGGACCCTGCTGTTAAAGCCCAGCTGGCCCCAAAGCTTCAATCTGCTGGAGCACAGAGGGGCTGAGCTTTGCAGCAGAGCCAACAAGGCAGGGAAGGCTGAGTGGCTCTGCAGGGAACTCTGTCAGCCAAGGAGTGGTTCCTCCAAACCTCCCTCCGCTGCTGGGTCAGGGCTCTTGCCGGCTGCTGCTGCACACTTCGCTCAGAACTGTGAGGTTACGCATTTATGCCAGCAATAAAAACAGACAATTTTCAGAATAGCAAGAAAAAGAGGTTCTTTTGTTCCCTGCAAAAGCTATGGAAGAGACAAAGAACAAGGGCTGGAGTAGCCACCTCATTAGCAAAGATATTCTGCTGGTAACTCTGATGTATTGTGGTACAAGAATCAGCAAATACTGCCAAGCTAGCCACTCTAACTCCCTGGAATTTTTGGAGACGTCCTTCATAGATGAGGAATGATAAAATCTGGGGGGCAAGAGTCAGAATCCACATCTGTTCTTTGGAAGGAAATGCAAACAGAAATGGAATTTGATTTGCATGTTATCTCATTATATCAAACACTCTAGCATTATGGATGAAATACATTAACCTGACCCCTTTCCTATTTTCTTTCTCAGCTCGTTCCCACACACTCTGTATATAGATTGAATTCCCTTTTTGTGTCCAAATGCACCTGATGCTCCCAAACCTAGAAAAAAGTGCTGAATCGCGTGTCAACACAAAAAAGAGGTAAATAAACTGTAAATAGAGCTTTCTGAAACAAAATCTACTGATAGTCCACGGCATTACCCATAAGTTACAGACATTTTGCAAAGGGCAGCAAAATTTTTTTTGCTGTTTTACAAGTAATGAAGAAATGAGACCTCATTTGGTTCTTTAGTGTTCATTAACACTGATGATTGCAGACTGGGGTATTAATGTGCCTCTTAACTCAAAGTCATGGACAACAGTTTGCCCTGATTATTCAAGGTGTTTCACTTGAGATCTTTATTAAAAACCTGCAGAGTCCAATCAGATCTGGTTTACTATCATCCAAAAATATATACCATGTTATGCATGTCAAATATTTTAAAAATGATGGAATTTTATAAATCACTATCTAAATGGAGATGCACTTTAACTAATTGATTTCATTTACTTCAAGAGCACCTTATTATATGTTTGTTTTACTTTAGGTAATAAACACAATAATCTCAAGTGATGAATT